AAGGAGGGGGTAGGCCCGGAGCATGGTGCTTACCGTGTACGTCTAGCTCCCTTCTAGGCGTCTCCGGGGCCATTTGGTGGTCCGGCATCAGTTAGCTGCTGGTCCCTTGGAGTGCCAACCGGTCGGTCCACAGGTAGATTGGACCTTGCTCTGAGGCCCGAGCGCCGCGCCGGTGTCGGCTTCGCTGGTGGTCCCTCAACTTTGCTCTCGTGAGCAGTGCCCGCAGATTGCTCCAGCGAACGCTTGACCGCCGAGCTCGTGTTGATCCCGCGGGTCATTCCGTGCGCTGGCATGTCGCCGCTTGCGTCAACATGCCCACCAGTTGGCTTTGTGCGTCTTCAGTGGAATTCTCTTGGCTGGTGTCTGCCTTAGCCGTTTCTTTCTCCTTGGTTTCCGACGCTGTATCGTAATCTTCAGGCGAAACCGGCCCACGTTCAACCAGAGAACTAGCCGCGTCTTCCGCCTCAGCGGCGTCCATTGTCTGCTCTTCGATGTGATCGCACGTTGCAGCGCTCGTAACTGCTGCATATGACCGGACGCACTGAGCGTCTCGATGTCCAAATCACTTACAAATTAAACACCGTGGCACCCTGCAGTCTCGCCGTACATGACCAGTCCCTTTGCACCGCAAGCATTGCATAGGCCTGCCCGGCGCCACAACTAGGGCCAGTTCCCCTGCAACGCGCACTTGGTGCGGAAGGTCCTCCACCGTAACTCCACTCTTTAACTTGAGTAACACGGTTCTCGTCGTCGACGCTTTGTCGCTGACGCCGTCGACAAACCAGGGCTCACGATTCACTTCGACAATATTGCCGAAGGCCGCGAACGCCGTCCGCACATCCTCATCGGCGACTCCGTAAAGCAGCCAATGAAGCCGCAGTTTTATCTGCCGATCCTGGGGATCAGCGATGAGACACCGGTGTCCCTTCACCTGAAGTTCCTTGAAGGCCAGCAGTTTCTTCGTCACGTCTTCTCCGTTCAGTGTAACCGCCCAGACGTGATTAATATGGTACGCTCCGAGTGCAATGATGTCCGTTAGCACTGCAGTGGGGCCCAAAGCGTCTCTGAAGTCTTCAACCCTGTAGGATCTCGCTCGAACGTCTGTGCAAAAACACAGTAATTAAGGCAACGCGTCTTGTTGGCAAATGAGGCAGAATCACTTGGTACTCTTCAGTTGACCTGTTACCGCGGCCCTCAAGGGCCGCTGAAGCCGCTCCAACGGAGTCCTGCATCCTGCGTTCGTTCACTACCGTGGCCGAAAGCAGAATGACTTCGCCACAACTGCCGATCAGCCAGTTTTGTATTGTTGTTACGCTGGACCTAACTAACATATTTTGTTTACTTTTACGTTTGCACGTAACTTTAACGGCTTTTATCGTAACGTCTAGACGTACCACTAGACACTCCCGACTATTAAAACAAGGCGCCTAACCAAAAATGCGTGACGTCACTTACGTGCGGCGCAGCAGCCGTTTTTGTGTGGGGGTGGCTCGAGCGGCGCAGCAGTCTCTGCCTAAAAAAAGTTCATTAATTTCTGTGCATTTTTAAAATTCCAAAATATATCTGTACTCCGTGATTACTTTCAATTTCGGAACATGAGCCTAATACAATATCAAACATTATTGTTATTTACCCCAAAAAAAGAGGGGAGATGACGGGAAGGGGAGAAAAACAGAGTACTGACTCACTAAACATAGTTCACGCGCGCGGGCCTCTTTGGGTGTATTTAAAACATTTGTATTTACAAAGTTATGCAATATTGCAGGTTTTTGCATAAACAGATGCATGTGCTGTGTTGTTTTATTGCGAAGAGCATAAAAGTTTTTAAAGTTTTAGCGCTATTTTAAGAAGTTGATTGAAGTATATTCACTAACGTTAAAGCTCAGTGGCTTTGTCTTTCTGGGCTATAAATTTGCTTCACAACGTTAACTCCACAGAGGTCCGGTCCGGTTCCCGTGAGCTGCTTCTCCGTCACGTTCTTTGTCACGATATAGGAATCCGTTGACTTACATCTCGACGGGATTTTTTTTTAGAAAATTGAAATTGCTCCAGCCACAGTTCAAAAAGAGCCCGACGTTTCGAGACCGACTCGGTCCCTTCCTCAGGGGGTGACTGTCTTGGTCATGGAAGTGTCGTCGCGTCGTGTTCTCTCGCCACGGCTCCGGCTTTCCCTTTCCACCACGTTTCGGAGACCGTGAACGTACACCGAAGGCATTGTTCCCAGCGAGCGGTTCACGTTGGCAGGCGTATGCTGAATGTGCCAAGACTCGAGCAAGAGCCTCTTTCCCAAATTCCGTTCTGTTTCAATAACAGAAGCGCCGTCTAAGTCAATTTTATGGTCGTGCTTCTCGCAGTGCTCCGCCAGAGCGCTACGTTGCACTTCCATCTTCCTGACGTCGTTCTTGTGTTGGCGCATTCTTTCCGGGAAACACTTGCTCTCGCCTATGTAGCAGGCTGGACACCCAGAACACGACACTTTGTAGACAACGCCCGGGTGTAGCTCCCTCGGAGGTCGGTCTTTCGGCCGCGGTAGCAAGCGAGCGAGCGTCGAAACAGGTTTATGGATTACCGTGACCCCGGCTTTTCCTAGGATTCTCGAGAGCTGTTCACTTATGCCCGGCACATATGGAATGGCGACGCGGTTGTTCGGCGTCTTCGTTTCTCTCGTGTGCGGTGGTGTGGCCAGGGCGGAAAGGGGGTCAGGCGGTGTGTCGCTTGCAGGTGTCTTTCCGCGGTGCGGTGGTTGTCGTCTCGACAAACGGCGTGACGCCCGGCGGATGAACGCTTCTGTGTAGCCATTCCTTCGTAGCTCGGCGACAATCCTCTTTTCTTCTTTCTTCCTCTCACCTTCCGACGTGCAGATTACTCGTGCACGTGAGAGGAGTGCCGAAACCACTGAAGCTTTGTGGGCAGTTGGATGACAGGACGAAAAATGCAAATACCTGCCGGTGTGAGTTGGCTTTCTATACACCGAAAAGGTCATGCGCTCGCCCTGTCGTCTGACTAAAACATCGAGAAACGGAAGCGCCCCGTCTCGCTCTCGTTCCACCGTGAACTGTATCGCTTGGTCGATGGAGTTTAGATGTTCGAGGAAGCTGTCTACTGCTGCCTTCTTTATTATGCAAAAACAGTCATCCACGTACCTCACAAATACTTTCGGCCTGTCAATAAAGGAGCCCAGTGCCGTCTCTTCTATGTGTTCCATTGTGAGGTTCGCAGCCGTAACGGAGATCGCCGCTCCCATCGCGGTCCCGCTGGCCTACTGAAATACGTCCCCTTGAGGCAGTATTCCAGTAGGCGACACAGTTCGTCGACGCCCAGGCAGGTTCTTTCATCCAAGAGCTCGTCTTGGTTCAACGCTGCTCGTGCGCTAGATACCGCTAGTGCTACGGGCACACTGGTGAACAGGGATACGACGTCGAACGAGACGAAGCACTCATCGCTGCTCACGGTCACATCTCTCATGCGCTCCAAGAAGTGGCTGGCGTCGCGTATGTGGGTTGGTGTTTGCCCCACGAGCGGCGCGAGAGTCCGGTGGAGATACTTGGACAGCGCCCGGAGTGGAGATGTAAAATCCACGATAGGACGGAGCGGAACTGTGGGCTTGTGGGTCTTGGGAAGCCCGTAGAATCCTGGTGCAGAGCCGTTCCGGCAGATGAGCTGGAGGTATGTGTTTCTCGCCTTCGGGTGCGCTTTAAAGATATCCGCCAGGAGCTTGTTCAGGTATCCGCCAGGAGCTTGTTTCTAAACTTTTCTACCCAGCCAGACAGATTGCTGTCAAAATGTTTACGTTTAAATCTCGACGGGAGTATTTGACCGAATTCTTTTGCTTCGCATTATTCCATTTTTTTTTTCCTTAGATGCGGTATATCTCCATTTCAAATTATTTAGCAACACTTGTTCTTGGGCAAACTCGTTCGTTGTTTATGAAGGGCACATTCCATACAAATTTCAAAAACTATTTCATCCGTTACGCATGCGCCGGATCAGGGAGAAAATCAGCCGACAAATTGAATACATATACATCATTTTAAAAGCTTTTAACTACAGTGTACTCCATCTTAACTGTAGCTATTTTAGCACTGCATTCAACTGAAGCTTGCTGGTGTGGCTTCTCGAAATGAAATTTTGCTACAGGGCACAAAATTACACCAGTGTAACTTTCGTACAAACATTGCAAGCGCTTTGCCAAAAGTGGAATGAAAAACAAAAAAGAATGCCATAGTAACATGAGTCACATGAAGACTCCAGCACAAGCTCGCATACATTTCCCCTAACAGGGAGAAAGTGCAAAAAAAAAAAAATGTGGAACGCTTCACGATTTTGCGTGTCATCCTTGCGCAGGGGCCATGCTAATCTTCTCTGTATCGTTCCAATTTTAGTATATGTACTTTGGAAGTACATTTTACTGTCTTTCGTTCAATTATATATAGCCAGGAAATGGGAGGCAGTTCCGAAGCAGTAAGGCTTCACTAATACTTCTATATGTTGAATCACCATTGTAAATAATTTGTAAATGGTGCAACTTGTTGCAAGTAGCATGGTACTTGGCAAGTGCCTTTTATATTAACTACTATTTACTTGCACTGGTAGATGTTCTAAATTAAATTGTTTGTCTTTAGAACAAAACAAGGGCTCACTCCCGCCCTCTCGTGGCAGAAGCGCTAGTTAGCCCAGACAGCGCCTAATTCAAAACAAGACTAGCTTCGGCTGAAGTCAAATTACTACTACTACAACTTCTACTACTACTACTACTAATAATAAAAGTTCCACAAATCACGCACTGCGTTTTCGACCGAACATATCGATGTACTCACACGTATAGTAAATAATTTAGTGCAATACCCACATACGCGAAGGAAATGCCAAATGATGGACCCTTGTCCTTGATTGGATTAAATGAAATATTTTTAAAAGTTATTGGTTTTCATGCATAAGTCCACCGGACTGTGTCTATGTTTTCTTTAACCATGTAGACCGTGAGAGAAATTAATTAGGAAAAAAATCTGGAATGTTTCACAATTTTGCGTGTAATCCTTGCTCAGGGGCCATGCTGATTGCTCTGTATCATTGTTTTTTTAGTATATGTACTTTGAAAATACATCCTTTAATTGAACCATGGTTTTGACCACCGCTACGGAGTGTTGAACTCTCTTCACTATTTGAAGTTTTTGCACTGCAACCATTAGTAATCTCTTCAGAGGTATTGTGGTACTCAGCGATGATTTTTTTGTTCATTAATGGCTGTTTATATGCACAATTAAATTCCTGAAAAAAAACGACATGGTTTCAAAAAAAAAATGGCAGATCCCACAGTGGCAAGCGATTATAAGCGAAGCACGAATGAGAAAGGCTGATATGTCACTTTAAAATCTGCGCAATATTACGAGGTGGAGATAACTGATGCCGTGCATGACTTCCGTGTCATGATTATCATGTTTGGATGTGACGTTTACCATCGTCATCTATTCACGTCACGTGATACCAAATTTAGTATATGTGGAGCTAGCGAAACGACCGCGAGCACGCTATGAGCGCGGTATGTCGTCATGTTTTTACATGCACGCGTGTCAGGATTATCATATTTGCAGCAGTCACATATTTAGTCATTCATTGACGTCACGTAATACCGAATTCGGTTTATGTGGAGCAAGCAAAACGGCCGTGAGCACATCATGAAGGGCCCAATATACTCCAATGTAGCGTTGACGCACGTGAACGCTGGGCACAGCGATGCTACGTTAGCAAAACGCGACCGCTCAAGTTTGCCCGCCGACGCCAGCGCTTGCATTTCCCCTGCCAGAAAAAACGCACAACAGTAGCGTGTAGCCACCCTTCCGCTCTATTTGGCTGCCTCGCATTTTCGAAGCGCGCGCGCTGCACGTGAAACGTCCCCCGTTCCGCGATGTCACCCCAACAGAAAGGGGGGAACTATTGCTGCGTCGTCAACTGTCACAATAGCCATGCAAATACGAAGGGATCGACTCCACCAGTGAAATTCCATCGATTCCCAAACCGATGGCACGAAACAAGCAGACGACAAGAATGGATTAAAGCAGTGCACCGAAAAAAAGTAAGAAGACAATTTTTAAATAAAAATTAGCACGCACACAATGCATTCAACATAACTGGTGTTAATTCCTGCGTCTCCTTTCCTCTAACCTATCGAGTTACTGGGAGATGCAAGTCCCCAGCTTAAAAGTATAAATTTTCAACATCCGTCTTAAGAGCACTGTTAAAAAATTGCGAAGAAATATTTTATTCCGCTACTATTATTCGATATTTTTGGAGACGTAGTAGTTGAAGCTGTGTACGCATATGGTATTGGTGAGGTTTTGTTAAATATATTTATATCTACGCAGCGCCTACGAAAGTGTGTGGTTGCCAAAAGCTTGGGCAATGATTTGTAGCAGACATTTTGTGGGAAACTGCAAAAATGACTCAAGTCTGCACCCTTCGTCAAGTCTGCCCCCGTGCACTACGAAAAAAAAAATGCATTAGCCGTTGTTGCACGCCCATTGGCAGATACAGTGAACTACAGGTTTTCCCGCTCACTTTAATCCAAGTGCCAGCCTAAATAATCTGCATGCCATTGAAATAATTTGAACGCCGAGCTATTTAATCCATGTGCCAAACATTTAATCCAAGCGCCAACATATTTAATCCAAGCACCAACTCAATGAGGCCGCATGCCAGTGAGTTTAATCCAAGTGCCACCGTGTTTAATCCAATTGCCAATGACTTTAATTCAGGTGCCAGTCAGTTTAATCCATGCACAAGAAACACATAGTTTGCCACTTTATATATTATAAATGTCAAAATAACGCAAACATGACGTCACAGGAAGAACTTTTCTCTCGCCTATACATGCTAGCGCTTATGAAATGAAGTGCGCAGTGCTACTTCTCCTTAATGTTTTGGTGTCATAGATTCAAAAAAAAAAACAGTGAATAGTTATTGCATTTGTGGGTACTAAATGTATTTGCTCATAGGGTCCATGTTAGTCTACGTATATTTCATCGCTACTGCATTATTCCGGCTAACAATGTACACCATCGCATATGCATAGATTCGCCTCGTATGCTCAGCAGACGGCATTTGGCTGCTTATTTGCTGAGGCTTTCGCAGTCGTGTGCTCAGCCCAGTGAGAACAGTGACCGACAGATGGCATTCATTTGTTCTCAAAATCAGAAGTAACCACTTAAAAATACTAAACTTGCATTTAATCGGATTTATGTGGAATCAAGTTGTTATAAAAGCATCAAGGGAGATACTCCGGTTTTCATGTAACAGACGACACTTAGTGTTGCTGGAGCTCGTTTGCTTGAAACACGTGCGTTTTCATACGGGCACATTGCAGACGAGAAGATAGCTTTGCTTGAAGTTACGGCTGGACGCAAACGATGACCACACTTTGAAACACCGACAAACCTCGTCAAAAAGAAAAAAAAAACAGCCGAGTATCGCTGGTCGACAGGGCTATAAAATTGTGGGCGTCTACAGGCGTGGCGGTGACCTAAAGCAAGTGGCCGACGCTCTAGGCATCTATATTAGAACAGCAAGATCGATTACTGCTACAGACAGAGAAACATCAAAGCATGGTGGGGGTTCCAAAAGGAAGTTTGGACATGACGTCATGAGTACTTTGAGACGAATTGTCGACAAAAACTGCGCATTTACAATAAAGCAACTAAAGGAGGCCCTGGAGGAAGAAATGCCAGGAGTACAAATCAGTGCAAGCTCAGTCGATCGGTTGCTGGATGCCCACTGCTACTCGATGAAGCTAGTGACGCAGAGGCCTACAGATCGCAAAGGTGACAATATCAAGCACAGCCTGCAGGCGTTATTTGCTGCTGGATGCGGCGCGCCACTCCATGCAAAAACACAGTACGTGGACAGCGCGGCCTTCGATCAGCATAATTTATCTTTCGTGGCTGCCGCTTCGCGTGAAGATGACTTGTGAACGTTCGTCTCCGAGTCCTATAAGACAGTTCTGTTTTAATAAATACACTCACCTGTGGCTATGTTGCATTTCTTGAATAATTATAATTAGTAGTAAGCACTCTTGCTTTCCTTATATATATATATATATATATATATATATATATATATATATATATATATATATATATAGTCGGTAGCCCCGACTTCGTCAGGGTTTGCGCAATCTTTTAATGTGCGAAGAGAGGCATAATGCCGCTTAAAAAAAGAGGAACACGTACAGTAAAAAAAAAATTGGCCCAAGGACAAATGCGTGTTATTATCATTTTGTTTCCTCAGTGTTCGTTTTATCACGTTGGTCCAGTACGTCACAATACTCCCAAGCTAAATGAACAATCAGTACTGTTCGTATTATTGGAGACATTAATTTTGATTGAATAACAATATAAGAGCAAACAATAAAATAGGATATAGTTTCCATTGCCACATCAGGATGATCAGTTTGCGTTTTATGTGCACTTCAGGACAAAGATATATTGGAATTATCTCTTATTCACTCTGCCCCATGACAGCCTCCTTATTTCTTGATTAGCTAGCTGCCTTTGACCCATCACTGCCCACGGCCAGGTTTTCGATACCTTGATATGTATTCCGGCACTCCTATAAACAAAGCTTGTCTTTCGCATTATATGACCTGTCCCGGTCATGTAATGTTGTAGTGTGTGCCGAAGCCAATTATGAGCTTTAGTGACGGACACTGAATCTCATTGCGCTGTAAAATATTCCGTAACATGTTCCTGCGTTTTCTTTTACTTCCATTAAAATTATCCCACCTGTGGTAAGCACTCATTATACAAACTTGCACATAGCAAAGTATAAGACTCCGAACACGGCTCAAGCGACCCACGGCAGTAATTTTTTGTCACGAATACCATCGGTGAATGCCAATAATAATGATTTATTCTACTTTGCGACTATTGTCTTTTATACGGTAGGAACTGCATTTCAATTGCACTAATCACTATGCGATATATATCCGAGTCTGTTCTAAAGTTGATTATTCGTGCATACCTACCATTGAGTCTACACCCGATATTCTTCAAGCAGTAGCTTTGAGTCCACTGTGCATACAAACCGTCTTTGAGCTGTGCTATTTGTTGTATACATTCTAAGACGTGTCTGCAATTTGAAGACCACACACCTGTGGATGATAAGTGCGGTATCGCTTACAAGTACCATGCAGGGATTGCGAAGCGACATAATTTTGATGGTGAAACGGCAGGAGGACTACGAAACAAAAGCTTGCAGATTTCGACCATGCAATGCATTCTTATACTGAGCTTGTTGAACACTGCTCAACAGGGAATAGTTTTGGCCCGAAGAATACGACGATGCTGGCTCATAAACGAAATCGACAGGGAAGGGAATCTTCTGGAATCATGGTTCATTAGCAAGGACGCAACAGCAACTGCCTACCATAAAACTATGGGTAAACTGGTGTGCGCAAATACAGACACAGAAAACAAGAGACAGGGATTGCGCTTGAACCTGTTTCTAGTTCTCTGTGTCGTCTGTATTTGCGCACACCAATTTACCCATAATTATGAACAAACTCACCCAGCTACAAGTTTTACCTACCATAAAACGCTTTTGAGGACATGTGGAACTAATGAACTGATTGACATCCTCTTTTTTTTATTATTATTGCCAGAGTATGCTGAGAATGTCACCTGCATTTGAGGCAAAACACCTGCCATTTTCTTATTACTTGAATTAGGTCTGCGTAGACTTCTGAATATTAGTCACAAAAAAGTTTCAATTACTTCACTAGTTCACAGTACCAATTCGCGCTACAGTTCTGTAGCCACCTGTCGAACACCTCAGCACGATTAGCGCGGTGCCTCAATCAAAGGAATGCTCTGGGACACCAAGAACAGAGTCAGAAGCTATTCCACATTCAGTATTGTTCCGGTACTCCGATCTCACTGCACCATACCCCGATCATACTTGTCATTCATCGCCGGTCACATGCGAGGCCTGTAGCATTCAAAAATATTAAGAGCAGTCACGACACCTGCTTAATTCTTGAAGATTCAGTGATCACGCGGAAACACAATATTAGTCACGCTGTCGCATGGCAGGCCTGAACGTTGCAGTTCAA